GGGAACGCGATGAAGGTAGGGAACTAACGCGTCGTGCTGAAGTTGCAGGTTTACGTCGCAGAAAGAGAGTTTTTCCATCGAAACTTGTGGCCCGGATAACCGTGGAGGATGAGTGTAGTGTTCGTGTAGAAGATCGGCTGATGTCGATGAGGTTTTGAGGTAAAGATGGAAAGTCGGAGTCTGCCTCGAATGGCGATGTCGCTGAAAGCAGGACCATTGGGCGTAAATGAAGATGAGGATACTGGCGGAGGTGAATTGTTAGCTGAGCTGCGACTAAAGTGAATGAACACGCACCCAAGAGACTATTTGGTTTAAACGCGTTGTTTTCTCCAGTTTCGCTAGTAGATGCTACAGAGGATACATTGCTGACGCCTAGACCCAAGAGGCCATTTGGTTTGAACGCGTCATTTCCTCCGATTTTACTAGTAGAAGCTGCAGAAAGCAAGCTATTTGGCGTAAACGTGTCTTTAGAGGAAGATGAACCCAAAAGGCCGTTGGGCGTGAAACTGCTGCTTGCTGTAGTAGTACATGACTGCAAAAGCTCGAATCAGAATTATTGGGGAAAGCAGCAGAATTTTTACCTTGAAATTAGCGTAAAGCACGTCGTTCAACAAGAACAGAGATAAATCACGCGCCCGATGACAGGCGCGTTTAGCAGTTAGCGCCCGTGTCATTACTTGTTCCCGATTTCGATGTCGCAACCTCCTGCAGGACTATGGGAAGCGCTTCAAGCCTCTTCTTCTAAACCTAGACCAAAATCTCACCTCTTATCGTCTTTCCCAAATGCTATCGCCGACGTTAGTGATTCTACAGACTCAGAAACAACCAATCAATACGATCTACTTTGTCCACGGGAAGGATGTGGAAGTGTCATTCTGAAGAAGGGCGTAGCAAGGCTGAAGGAACGCGAAAGCTTACAAGTTTGCTACCACTTTCTTATCATTTTGACCCTTCAAATAGTAATCGCTATTTTCATAGATTGAACCGTCCGATATCCCTGCTCATCCACTCCTCCCTGCTCTTCCCAGCAGTTCAGAATCTATACACTGGTGGCTTGTCACTCCTTCTCCAATGGAGTTTGAGAACATAGGCTTCTCTCGTCCCGTGGAATCTTTATCGCTGTCTCCCTCAGGTTTGATTCGACTCTTTCATAAAATGTAGTAATCTTGACCCAAGATCTTATCAGGGAAGAAACTGAAACTCCTTGCTTGTGCCGAGTGCGATCTTGGCCCTCTAGGCTGGAGTGAAGAAGGAGGCAATGAATTCTGGCTTGTCTGCTCTAGAGTTGGATATCGTAGCGACTGATGGTTAGAACGATTATCATTAACAGTAGAGATTTCAATCGTTCCTCAAACTCTGATTATGTACAAGTAGTGTACCAACCCAATACTAGTTTATATCACTCTGTCTAGCCACTCAAACACGTCTAGACGGCTGCATGCTTTGGGTGCCAGACCACTGTGATTGAAGATCTGTAAATTCTACGGTGGCAGGAACTGGGTAATAAAAATACGTGCCTGGGCCAAATTGAACTGAGAGCGAGATGAACCGTGCGACCTCGTTGGCCTGTAGTTTGTCAATGAGCGAAAGTGTTTCTGCCACTCTTCCGAATGAGAGGCATCGCCGTACAGTGTCCGAGCGGGTATGAAGATGCTGGTACCAGATTTTGGGCCTTTCGAGCTGTAAGATTTCTGCTGAAGCGAACTGTTAAAAGTCGGGACGTGTATAGATGAATTTGGGATGAGACAGTCGGAACAGATGTTTTGAAGGTTACTCGGTCCTTGGTAGGCTCGGTCCCAGCCAGTCTATGAGCTCGCTGCCCTTGGCGGGCTGTCGATAGACAACAGGCTGGGAGTACTTGGCAAGACGGTCAGGTTGATGTACGAATATAATGTCCAGGGCCGTCCGTGAGGACCTAAGGCTTTCCTGACCTCGATAGTCTATAGCTGGTATCAGTTGTCAGCTTCCTCCTGCTCTCCGTCTAGATAGATACGCGTAAAATGAGTCGTGAAATTTTAAGATCGCGTCTCTTGAATAACTGATTATGGCGCTGCTGCTTCCGTATCCATTGATAAGAGTAGTAAGAGTAGCATTCCTGTAGCTGATATTGCTGCTTTCTGCCAGCCTCCTGCAGAAAGAGAGGCTCGGAGTCAATCTCGGAGTACAAGTAAAACGTCGGACTCGGAGTCCGAATTTCGGCTCCACACAACAGCTTCATTTCCTTGTTCTTCTCTCTTTACGTCGATTTCTTTTTTTTCCTTCCAGAATTTACAACTCTTCATAGTAAGAAAGGGAACCCAAGGTACGTGGCCTCACTTCTGTGGTCTTTTGGGCGTTCAAAAAAGGTCATGTAATTATCTAGGCCTATTACCACTGTTTCGGTTCGACTTCATGATGAATCTCAGTGATCCGAGTCGACAGAGCGGGTCTTCCACTACTGTCGAGGTGAGTATTTAAATTCATTCTGGTGTTTCCTCCAGCTAATCAGGCTCATAGGTCGTCAACCCTCCAAGCTCTCCATTCCCTCCTGACGTAGAACAATCCATCACCTCCTCAAGCACAAACGGCGTCGACCCATTCAATCTCCGTAATGGTCTTCAGACGGAACAACAGCTTTCTGAAATACGCCACCGTAAAGCTGGCAAAGGAGTGCTCAAGTACCATAAGGGCCAGAATGAAGTTTGTTTCTGTGTTCTACCATACTCTTGCCTATGTACTCATTCCCCTCAAGTTGATTAATTCGTTACTCAAGCCTATGCAAGTGCATACCGAGGATGCAAAGATTGAAGAGGATAATAATCGTCTCCCGGTATGTCTTTCGGATTCCAAATGAATTTCCTGCAAAGCTCATGTTTGTGACCTTTAAAGGTCAAAATAGCCATCTATGCCAGCATGGCTGCTAATGTCGGACTTTGCATCTTACAGAGTAAGTATGTTCACCTTCTTCCCTATTCTCCTCCAGCTCATATCGGTCTCCTTATTTCTAGTGTACGCCGCGATCTCATCAGGCTCACTATCCTTATTGGCGACGGGTATCGATTCCGTATTCGACATGGGGAGCAATTTTGTCCTCTGGTGGATCCATCGAAAATCAAAAAGCCTGGACGTGAACAAGTGGCCGGTGGGTGGCGCTCGACTGGAGAACATTGGTAACATTATTTATGGTAGGAAAACTTCTCCACCGCGAAGTAGATGGCTCACTAACGACTATATTAAATAGGTTTCCTGTTAGCGCCACATTTGCTTCAACTACACCGGAACTGATATTGTTCATGTAGCATGGGCGCCGTTAATCTAGTCGTCATGGTTGAGTCCGTTCGCGATATCATCGCACACAACAGCGACAGTAGCACGAACTCTTTCCATCTACCGTCTATCATTGCAGTTGCCGCAGCATTATGTAGGTGCTTGAGCTCATATTCGTAGAGCATCATTAATCCCCAATCCTCTATTCAGGTGTCAAGTTCTTACTCTTCCTCTATTGCACTTCGCTACGAAAAAGTTCGAGCCAGGTTTACGTGCTCTGGGAAGATCATAGGAATGATATTTTTTTGAATGGTTTTGGTAGGGACGCTATCTACATTTTAGCCGTGCGCTTACAAGTATCTTGTCCTAGGTGTGCTCATGTCGGCCGGTGGAAGTAAACTTGTTTGGTGTAAGTGCAAACTTCCTCGACACGACATTCGATTTTCAATATCTAATCTCTATGCAGGGCTGGATCCGACAGGTGCTCTCGTTGTAAGCATTACTCTTTCTTCTGCTTTGCGAAGAATTTCACTTATTATGCTCGCAGATTGGAATTGGAATTCTCCTCTCATGGGGTCGAACCGTCTTCCGAGAATTTGAACTCTTGGCAGGAAAATCTGCTCCTCGTGAATTCCTCAACTTTTTAACATACAACGCCGCGACGTTCAGGGATGATATCGAAAAGGTTGATACTGTTAGAGCGTATCATGTAAGTATGCGTTCTTCTAGTCAAGCCTCTTTCTAATTCATAAACTTGTAGAGTGGTCCAGTGCGTATCGAAAGCCTGTACCTCAATCCAGATACTTAATAGTAACCGACACTGCGTCTTTTTTTGTTTACAGGACTACTTTGTCGAAATCGATATTGTGATGAGTTCGGATACGCCGTTATGGAAGGCCCATGATGTTAGCCAGGCATTGCAAGACCGGATTGAAGCGCTTCCGAATGTGGAAAGGGCTTTTGTACATGTAGACCATGAAGCGACGCATGCGCCGGTGAGTGACATTCAATCGATTATCTTCGATTCGGGGGAGCTCATAGGCCTTGGCAGGAGCATCGTAAAGCGGTATGAAACTTGAAGATGATAATGAGATGCTTATTATAGTACCCTAGCTTATATCTGCCTAAAGCATCTATTTGGATTCCCTTCACGCAATGCGTTTGACACCATGTATGGGTCCCCTGATTGCCATCTCATCCAAAGCCAAGGAATAAGTATTGACTCGTCGCATATGGAGAGCAGAAGTGCGCGCGCGTATCTCGATGAGACAATATCTCAGTAATGCTATTCTACGTAAAAATTTATCACTGTGGTTGTACTACCAGGTTCCATGAAGATGTTGAGCGGGCCTCTGGCTGAGCTGTGCCTGCTGCTCAGTGAATCAGACCTCAGCAAACAGGTGGAAGCCGCGAAGGAGTATGACTTACTGTTTGATCAAGAGAAAGACCATTAAGCTAGGATACAGGTTTGAGTAGCTCATCGGATGATAACACCACAGCTTCCCACAAGATTGAACGGTTCCATCCATTTTTCTACTAGCTCTTGGCCGGCCTTTGCTTTGGTGTCTAATAGTAAAACGGTATTCTGGTCTAGCCATTAAGAACAGGAATGTTTATCAAGTTCACTCATAAGTTGTAACCCACTGCCTTGACGAGTCACGACAATCAGCCGTATCTTTCCTTTAGTTCTCTTCCTCCTTGACTAGTACATCTGCAATACATTACATCACCAGGCAGAAGCTTCTAATAAGGAAGCATTAATGGGGTAGTGGTAACCTGGGTCGTTGCCATATCTGCTCTTCATGGGATGTCGACCCGCCGGGGGTTCGATTCCCTCTTAATGCATATCGTATCGTTTGTGTGAGTTCACTTTTTTCTTCAAATCTCATAAATTATTGGCTTTAGGCTTTACCCAAAAGAAAACGGACTTTCCCGCAAGTTTCAGATTAATTTTCTACACCCAGAAACATATATAGTATGCAGAAAGTCAGGTGTGAGTTTCGTGTATTATTAGTGTGTAAGTAGCAGGTACTAGAATTGTAATAGCAAGAATGACGAATCACGTCCGTTTGATAGCAGTAATGAACTTTCGCCATAGCAAATCTTTTCGTTTCTAAAAGCGGCCAGAGCTTCGGACGGTCAAAGATGTACGGAGTGAGGGAGAATCGACCTCTGCGTATGATTTCCATCATGAAGAATGTCACTAGACGGGAGTTATGAGTTGGAGCCAGTTAAAGTACAAGGGAGAGAAGATATTAAAGGTACTCGAATCCGATCTTGATTCTTCCGTATCTAGGCTATGCAGTATGTACACATACCTATAAGCTCAATATCCTTCACACCTTCGCGCTCCTGAACCAAACTCTAGGTCCAGGTAAGAGTGACCAAGACCTGGGACGTGCGTGCAGAGTACTTTCGCTGTCCCGTTACGCGTCTCGGATGACAGAGATCGAGGCCTTGTGCTGGATTTGGACGTAAATGGGCTCGATAACTGAGTGGCCGGGCCTGTAGTACTGGTAGAGCAGCTGGGTACAGCGGATGGAGTTTTGGAGAAAGGCGCCTCTGAGTTTATTGGAATTGTAATCGACCAGCTGGTATAGAGACGTAAGTAAAGTAAGTAGTTTATTTGTATTGGGAAGGCTGTGGAAACGTGCACATACTGTAAGAGAATTCGCAGTCGCGGTCCAAATAAGGTTTGAATCGAATCTGCTGGGTATTGCTAGTGTGTCTGGTCTGAGCTCTAGTTTGTCAGAAAAAAATTGTCTGCATAGAAATGTTGGACAGACTTACATTATCTTGGCATCGGATGTATTAAACAATTTCGATAAATTCTGAATACGCTCCTGTCCGATGGTTATATCTGGCCGTCTGCCTCTCCATATAATTTCCGCCACCAGTTTTCCAGCGTTGTTGTGAACTTGGGTTCGTCGGATTGTGACTGAAGCTGAAGGACGTGGCCTGACAGTGGCAGTCACGGTGGAAGAGACTACTTCGCCGAGAGTACATTCCTGAGAGAATGAGGAAGAAAAACATGGCCCGGATATGTTTAAAGGGTCGACTCGTGAACCATCCTCTAGATCCTCATCGAGAGACTGGGAAGTTTCCTGAACTACGGTTGCAACCTTGTACAATGTTTGGCCAGTCGAGATGTCGACTAAACACGTATTGAGGATATCGGAGGAGTTGAGACGTAGCAGCATCAATACGGGGTCTCGATAGCGAGCATCAAACGCGATGTGTGAATCTGCACTTTTAAATGAGGATGACTGACGCCTACATACATACATTGAAATCATTTCCAAGTACGGTCGTTTGTTTGTACATGCGCCAATGACGATGAAAATATTTGCAGCGATGGGAATCTGGAGAAGGCGGAGTTGATTGGGATAGCATTGCAGTGAGATAACTACCTTTGTGGCGTATGGAGGTGGCGTCTAGATTACTAGAAGAGGTGGATGGCTTGGGTGAGGCGACTGAACGTGAAGAGTGCGCTAGAAGATAATCAGCGAGCGCTTTCGTTATCTATACATCCCTTTGGGCGCTTTCATGTGTTACTTGCAAGTATCTTTCATAGTTTTGAGCGACGTGCGATTTGAGATTGCGACTAGAAGCTGTAAGTAAAATAGCTGTATGCCCGCCACAAGCGCTGCGCTAAGTTATCGATCAATTGAAACTGTTACCTAACAATGGGAACATCACGTGTACGTACTTACCACAACTGGTACAAACATCCTTGAGCTTCGAACCACTAAAGGGAGAGCCAGCATCGCTATCCACGACCACCACAACGAAATTTGACGACCTGGGTGCAACCAAAGAGCAATAATCTGACGGTGCCTTTGCTGGCTCGCGTCGCAACACCTATTTCCTACTTCATTTCTGGTTATGTCCCCTTCTCAGAACTTTAACTCGGCCAATTCAACTTTGGCCCGTAGAAGATACCCTTTGCGTCGACCTTTATCTTCTAGAAAGCGCGCTGCTAGAGCCCACTCAACTTCCTCCTCAAATTCAGACATCTTTCGCGCGTCATCCGATTCCCGAGATTTAGATATACGCCCAGTCCTCGTTCCTTTGCATCCAAATCTCCGCAGGCTTCCCTCTCGCATATTTTTGGAGGAAAAACATATCGATATATTCGACTCTTCCATGAATCCGCGCGTAGGATCCAAGCGCAAACGCGTCGCCAGTGCAGGTAACGAGAACGCGCAGGTCGGTGGCCGCCCGACACGCGGCTCAGGTCGTCTTAAAAGGTTCAAGTCGAGCAGAAAGTCTGACGAGACCAGCGAAGACGAAGAGTCTATGCAGGTTGATACCGACTCTCATCGCTACGGGCGCCAGGTTACAGAAGAAACAGACTCTGAAGAGCAGTCTGAAGAGGAAGAAGAGGAAGGAGAACAAGGCGCGGAAGACGACGATGAGTCTTGTATGTGCTTTTTTTCGTCATTCTCTCTCAACTATGCTCATTTTCTTCATAGCCGACGACTACCTAATTTCTTCTGCTCCATCACGTGTCCTCAGTAGGATGCGCAAGGACGACTTGACTCGCCTTTACACACTTGCTGGTCTTACAGACGATACCGAATCCTTCACCAAGTCGGACATCGTAGAGGCCATCATTGCAGCCCGTGAAGATGTGGCGTCACTGCCTCCTTCTTCGCCACTAGGCCGAGGTGCAGGCTCGAGTGATTATTCATCTGACGATGCCATCATTCCAGATGAAGAAGCAACTCCAATGCCGCCTACCTATCTTCGACGTCGTGTTACGATCACCGATGTAGGCGCTGGAAGCAGTCGTCGACCACTCAAAAGTCGAAGTCTCTCCATGGGACATATAAACGATGATAATGCATCTACACATTCTCGTCGAAGACAGACCAATAAGACTGCCCATGTTACTAACTCAAGGCAAGTCGAATCACTGTTATTCGTTGATCAAGGCTCATATCTTTGCCACAGGCGACCCTCAAGGCGATCCTCTCCAGCAACGTCGACTTCGTCTTCTCAGCTAGCCTTTTCCATCTCTTCGCCTCCCGCACATCATTTGCGCTCTCGAAAGCCCTCTGCACCCACACTAGTTTCCATACCCTCCGTCGCACACCTCCTAGATCCCTCGTCACTTCCCACGCCCACCGATCTTTCCGGCTCTGGTACTACCCCCACTGCAGCACTTGCCGCTTTTACATTCACGCATCGTAAAGGCAAATCAAAACAAGTCGAGTTTGATGACTCTGTTCATCTCCTGAAACCGGTGAAAACCCCATCAAAAAAATCCACTACCCGTCACATATCCGCGCCGGACAGCGAAAGCGATCTGACCGAGCTAGAGGACTTGGAGGCACAAATTTCGGCCCAGCCTAGCCCGAGAAGACTGCGGAGCAAAGACAAATCCCGTTCGAGTTCAGAAGGTGGTAGTGGAAGTGGAGTCTCGGTGGAAATTCTTGATGCTCGGCGAGTCACTCCTATGCGTAATGCAAAGAGGAAGATGAAGAGCTTGAAGGAAGATGATACTACTCAGGAGGAAGAGGAGGATGAGGATGAGGAGATCGAAGAGGTCGATGAAGATAACGCGGCAGATGAAGAAGAAGAGGTCGATGAGCTCATATCTACACCATCGGCCTCCGCTTCACCCATACAGCATCGACGCACGCCCATGAGGCGACGACTACGATCTCGGAGTAGAACACATGAGGATCCTAGCGATGGAGATGACGAGGACGAGATGGATGAGGAAGAAGGCGATGAAGAGGGCGCCGAAGCTGAGGAGGAAGAGGAAGAGGAAGAGGATGATGAAGAAACGATAGCTGTCGAACCTCGAAAGCTACGCAATGGGAAAATTGTAGGCGAAGAAGATGTGGATATGATTGACGAGGCTGAGGAAGAGGGTGAAGACGATGGTGAGGTAGAAGAGGACGCAGGTGAAGAAGGTGACGAAGAAGGTGAAAACGAAGGGAGTGAGGAAGGTGACGAGGAGGAGGTCGAAGTCGAGGACGATGCAAGCATTGACCTTGATGGCGACGGAGATACGGATGAGGAAATGGAGATGGACGATGAGGATAGCAGTAAGTCCTACGGTCCCATATTCAACCATCTCGACTAACATATTTTTAGTTGATCTCACCATCGCTACTGCTAAGACTCTTGTCCGTTTACGACGCGATGATCTCGTCAGGTTATGCGAGAGCCGCGAGCTAGAGCCTACTGGTACAAAGCCTCAGCTAGCCGAAGCACTTTTGCAATGGCGGGACAACCAAAACAACGACTTTTCTTGCCCTTCATCTATCGGTACCGTTCGCCCGCTTTCCACGGTCAAGCGACGGAACCGACGACGCTCCTTGTCCAGCCGCAGTCGAAAGAGCAGCCAGAAGACTGCAACCCCTCCGGTGCTTCTACGGTCGGAGCGGATACATACAGACGAGCCGAGAACCCCGCCTCTATCAGGAACCGACGGTCAAAACGATAAACCTGTTGGGGAGCCCGAGCTCGAACTGAGATCTCGGAACGCTCGGGCTCGAAGACAGGGAGATACCCCCGGAGAAGCTGCAGAAACTGGAAAAGATCGGAAGCGGTGGATTCAAGGACGTGTTCATTGGGAAATTCAAAGGGAAAAAGATTGCCATCTCGGAGTTCAGAGGACAATTGAGTGCCAGTGCGTCTTTCCATTCTCTCCCCCTGCGCAGGTGCTCATTGGCCCCGACTTTCCTCCAGTGGATATCAAAGAGTTGAAGCTATTGGGCGGATTTGATCACCCCAATATTGTTCGTTTTGTGAGTAATGTTTTGGTTCTGGTTTGACCGAGCTTTCCAACTAAAACGTGGTGGTGGCGTTTTTTGCAGCTCGGCGTCAGT